CAAGGGGGTTAGTCTAGCTGAGGAGCGGCCTCAGCCAAACCCGCCTCGTGTCCGGCAGGGCTCGGACCGCGCAGCCGAGGCAGGAATGCTGGAGTGGAGGCCGTTTATCCGGAGAGCTGCCACCTGCCCCGGCAGGCGCATGTGGGAGCAGCGGGTGGTCCCGGCCCAGCCCTGGTGCTGGGCGCCCTTGTTCAGGCTGGGACATCCCCCCACCCCCGCTCTCCCAAAGGGTCCTTAATTCCTGCCGCAATCCCAGGCAGCTCCGTGTCAGCACAAGGCACATGGTGAGCTCAGCCCATGGCTTTTAGTGCTGGCAGCTCCTGCAGGGCTGGGGTCTGCTTTTAGGTAGCGGCTGGAGCGCCCGCCGTTCCTGAGCTCCTCCCTTGGCCTGACAGCAGGCAGCTCGGTTTTCCAGGGAGTATTCCACAAACAGATACTTCCCTGCACCTTAACCAGCTCTTAAAATAGAAACCGTTAGGAACGCGTGCGTGGCGGGGCTTTTCACTGCTTGTCCAGTCTGTAGCCTGCGGCCACTGTAAAACTGCCAGCACGAAAGTGCAGTATAAATTAGCCAGCAAGCGTTGTTGAATTCAAAATAATTCAAGGTCCCAGTTTTCCCAAGGCTCTGGTGTCCAGTGGAAACACTCGGAAATGCTTCCATAGTGGCTAGTTTGGTATTTACCTCCAGCTTCTATGCAAGGAGCAAACTGAGGGTGACCTTTCCCGATGAAGACCGTGTGAGCAGCCTGTCCATTTACCGTGCAAGGGACCTGGAAAGGCTCCTGTGCGTGTGCATGGAGGCGGCGGCTGCTTGCGGAGCCCTAGCGAGTGCCAGCAGCTGTACAGCACTGGGGTGGTGGGGTTTGGGGCTAGTTTACACGCCCATAATGCACGTCCCAAGACTTCCTTAGCTTGTGCAAAGGATGACAAATAGCAGTACTTCATACAACTATATTTAATAAGTTATTACAGAAAAAAATAAAGTCCAAACTACAAAGTTTAAGCAGTTGTAAGCAATAGCAGCATTGAGCTCCATGTTTAGTCACAGTACTGCAGTTCCATACAAGCATTAGTCCAAGCCAAAAAGGAAGAAGCTTTGTTAGAATTACTAGCAAAAAACAATCTAAGAGAACATGTAATAAAAGATACAGTACATTTAAAATTAGTTGAAAAACAAGTACAGAGATCTTAGCTGTGAATGCTCTAAAAGTTATGTCCATTATTTTGACAGTAAAATTACAAATATCTAGTACTTTATACCCCAACAGAACTTCATCCGAAAAAAAAAAAAAAGAGCCCAAATTACTTCTTATTAGCACCCTGGTTTTCTACATACTGCTCAACTTTTCCTCATGTAAATTTGCGTGTGCCAGAATTACGTGCCCAGTGTAATTTTCTGACCAGCTACCCATTTGGGGTATAGAGTAGTCACTAACATGAATATAAAATACTCCGTGGTATGATAGAACACTATAGCAGCAGAGAGTAAGAAGAGAGTTTGTCTGGTTTAGAAAAAAGGAAAAGAAAAGAAAAGGGGGTTAGCTGACATCATACAAACCAGCATAAAAAGCAACTACATACAAGCCAGAGGAAACAAAAGAGACATTTTCTACAAATCTGTGACTAATCTTTCACTCATACCTTGCAAGTAGAGATGTCACAATACTGAAATATTAACATGGGAGCTTTTCCCAGTTAGGCGCCTTTTTCTTTTTTTTTTTCTTTTTTTTTCTTTTTTTTTTTTTTTTTGTTAACTACTCTAACAGATAGTGAAATCAGCAAAGTTCTTTGCTAACTGCATATTTGCAATACAATTGGTTTTAGCCCATGCCTTGCTAGCAGGCTATAAAATACAAGCATGTAGGCAGAAATATAAGCATAAACTTTGTACCACTTAGCAGGAATTTTTGCATTCCCTCTTCATTCCTTAATCTCCTTTGTTTGCAATTTGTGTACATTCCAACCAGTAGTACCTAATTTGAGTCTAAATTTTACTTCACTATTTGATCTAGTCTATACATTACTTACAGAACTGAACACACAGAGGATACACAATAGGCCAACTCTGGACACATTTCTTTCCGCAAGTTAGAGATGAGCCACCCTACCGCACGTTAGCCTACAAGATCATCCGTAACTTGCTGAAATACCTTTGATCTAGAGAAAGTCATTGTATGCCCTGTTTACGCAACACCAGTTTTAGTCTGGATGGGTTTCGGTGCCAGAGCCGGGCCCTGGCGGCAGGAAGGGGGGGTCTCCTGGCTGCAGGGGGAAAAGAGCGTCCATGGAAGTGGAGTGAGAGATGGCAGCTACCGGCAGGGATGGCGCCGGCAGAAACGGGCAAAAATAACAAATAAATAAAAGGACAAAGACGCAAGAGAGGCAGCGGAGGAGGGAGAAAGACCAAGAAGCGGACGGCGGGCTCGGGGTGGCGGCGGCCACGCGCCCCGCACGGGCAGGTCCCCCAGGCCGAGGCCGCCCGGCCAAGCCGCGGCGCGGCTCTGCGCCCGGGGCCGGCGCCGGCCCTGCTGGGGAGAGAGGCCACACAAGCTCATGACAAGAACAAGCAATGGAGCATCGTGCTGAATGGGCAGGGTCGCAAACCCCTCCTTTCAACAGATTGAGTTCGTTATCAAGGCAAGAGTCGTTAATCAACACTGGTGGTGTATAAATCTAGACAGCGAACTGGTACTGTGACATCCCTATTATCTCCCTAAATCATTTTGATAAAGGAAAAGGCTTTTCAAAATATCACATTTTTTCTGCTTCATTCTGTCATTTTATTGCCCAATTCTTTGTTACAATTTTCCAATCACTTTACATAACCAACCATTTTTTTTTTATCATTGCCACACTATTGTAAACCACATCAGCGAGTTAATACATAAAGCTTTGCATTTCAAAAAACTAGACACTTTAGTAACAATATTACAAAGATTTTAGCTTCAAAAATAACTGAAAATGAAAAAAAATAAACTTTTAAAGAATTAGCATCATAAAATTAATTTATTCCAAGTAAAAATACAAAATAATATTAATGACATTGACCAGATATGAAAGTCTCTCCCAGAAACAACTATATTAATGGTTGAGAAAGCACTCCTTAAAGAAAATACGAAATAAAAATGAAAAATATGTAAATATGTTTAATTTTTTTCTTAGCAAAAAATCTTTCTAAAAATAACAATGAAAATTTGTCTCAGTACAAAGGCTACATTACTATTGAAAAAATACCAGCATGAAGAAAAGGTACATATTTGACAGTAGAAAAATGATTTTAGTGAATCACAATGTCTAAAGTCTGCAATGAAAATAAATCTGCAATAAAGATTTATGCCTTTTTTCTTTTCATTTTTCTTTTTTTTTTATACAAACAGTACAAACAGTATTGCACATAACAACAAATAGTCGAGGTTAGGTTAGCCTTCAAAAAAATCGACTAGTTCAAGTCTCACATCAGAAAAGGCCACAACAGGACCTGTTGTACCCAGGGGCTTCTTAAGTCAAGTTGCAGTTCAGAACTCCATATTTTAAAAAATAACTTTTTTTTTTTTTTTTTTGAAGGACCCTCTTTTAATATAACATATCAACAACTCAGGGGCACATTCATTTACAAAACAAAAGGGAGCATGTTATAATTTAATAAACTAAAAAAAGTTCTCTTTAAAAAAATACAAACAGAAGAACTCTCACAATTCTGGTCAGTCGTGCAGAATCACACCGATTATAAATATACAAATTAAGGGAAAAGAGTTTTTTTTTTTTCACCTTCTATTCACAACTTTCAGCACCAAATGGAGTTTGTGTTTACAACTGTTCTTTAGGATAACTTTGTTTTAGTTTCCATCCACCGTTTTGCTATATGGAACATTTTCCAGCTTCTCTCTCTCGCGCGCGCGCTCTCGCTCTCTCTCGCTCTCTCTGGGGGTGTTTCTACGTGAAAGAGGGGGGTTTCTTCAAAAACGTTTACTTCTTTCACATAATTAGGTAGATTTCTGTAGGTTAGCTATGATCTTTAATATTACAGTTATAAAGCTCTAACTTCTTCATTTTTCAAAAAAACTCAAATAAGCATGAAAAAAATAAAGTTACCCATCTGTTAAATCATTTTTTTCTCGCAGAATTAAATTAATATATATTTTTCTGAATAAACTTACTTAGAAAATATCATTTTCTTTCCTATATTTCAAAATTGAGGTATTGCAAAAGATCATGTCAGTCAGAAAGCATGCCTTTTTCTTTAAAAAAAATCATCAGCCGACTGTTGAAAACTGTCTAGATACAAAAAGTAGTGCATAACAAAATGTCTTGTACAGATGAAAAAACAGAAAAGACACCTGGGCTGGGAAAAAAGCAATATCACAAAAATGCCCAGAAGTAACCTTGAAAGGGAGAATCATAATAAGCATTTTAAACCAGTAAAAAACTATTTTTCTTTTTTTTTTTTTTTTCCAAAAACAGAAAAAAAGTTCCTTTCAAAGCCAATACTCGCGACTAAACATTGGGAGAAAAAGGGGAAAAAAAAAAAAAAAAAAGCAAAAAGAAAGAGCTTGCTAAATTAGACACAAACAAGGACGTCACAACAGGTAAAACCCAGACATTTACATCTACTCTGCGGTGTCATCTCCAGTCAGATTGTCCCCAGAACTGCAAAACCCAAAGGAGGCAAAAGGAAAGGAAATCGTGTACACGTCATCCCGCTCATCCGCACCCCGAGCGTGTTTGGAGTTGCCAGCCCTCTGCAGCCCCACAGGTCATGCTAAAGAAACGTCCCCTGCGCCGGCCGGCCCGGCTTTACGCAGACATTTCCTTAGCATCCCGTTTTTTTCCCCAACTTTCTTCCACTGTGCCTAGTTTCTCAGCTTGACAGACTGCCTAGGTGGTCGTGCGTGGAGGCGAGTGTGAGCTCTTTGGTTCTGTGGCCAAGGTCTGCGGCTACGTGAAGGGTGCAAGCGGTAGGAGAGAGGTTGTGACTAAGAGCTCGTTCCTGTTTATGTACCTGTTATGAACTGTCAAAAATGTGTTAATGTTGGATACAGAGGCTTTAACAGTTAAGTTTGATCACAGTACTAGACATAATCACTTTACTATATAAAATAAATTGCACGATATATAACAGAGCACCGCAAAGTACTTCATCTACCATCCACAAATTTGTTTTAAGAATATCCTACAGCTAGTTTGTAATATTTGTTGGAATATAGGTCATTCTGTAATGGGCTGATCCTAATTTCAGAAGCATTACATTTACTGAGGCATGCCTTCCTCCAGTCAGTAATCCATTTTTTTTTTAACTTTTGTTACTGAATATTTTTTAGCCTACATAGATTCATAATTTGTGCATTGTGGGCAGGTTTTATATTAGACATATATAAAATTTATTGCATGCAGCAACCTGATTAAGTAAACATGCAGTCAAAATATTGACCTTCCTTGGAAGCTTTTCTGTATGCTATACTGATCTCCTTTCAGCAGCCATCACTATTTTAATCACATATTCATTTTTTAATTGATACCCTAGCCTGAATAGAGTATTATGGTATTAGTAATACCATTTTAATAGCAGCAAAAGCTATTGCAGCATACATGTACATAACACTAAAAGACCTAACCAAAAAAAAAAAAAAAAAAACACAAAACAAAACAAAAACAAACAAACAAACAAAAACCCCTCAGCAAAATAAAAGAAAAAAGTCTGATCCAGCTTATGAGGTATCATCCTTACAAGTCAAAATGGAGAGCAACTAAAGGCTTATTTTCTTTAAGGGTTATTACTACTCTAAGTGACCCAAACTAATGATTGCTGAATATCCTTTTAAGTAAGTTTTTGCTACATCTGCCACCTACTTGTGAATATTACCTTTGGTAAGTCATCTGCTAGGGGCAAGTCTAAATTTCTGAAAATAAGTGCATGCTCCAGTTTAAAAATAAAAATAATTATAATAAAAAAATCTTCATCACATACACATCAACCCAGTGAAGGCCGATGAGAATGGCAGTCTACATAATGTCACTAGTGACAAGTCTTGTGTAGGAAATTAAGGTACCAAGCAGATGTTTGTGTGAATCAAAGTGCAAAATCAGTACAGTTACACTCTGCCGGTTTGTATTATACTGGACACTGAGTTCAGTAATGTGACTGTAAATAATAATAATAGTAATAAAAAGACCCATATCTTCATTAAAGTCGAGGACGAATGCACAGATTTCCAGAACACTAAGCCCTGAGGCAGCGCTCTCTTTTCCCTCGCTTTTATCTACTGCAGGACGCGGGGCCGGCGGGCGCGGGGCTCAGCTCCAGCGGAAGGGCACGTGCCGGGGCCGGTCGCCTCCCTCCTTCACCAGTGGTTTGTGGAACTCCCGCCCGGCCCGGGAGTGGATGCTCGCCCAGCAGTATTCACAGTAATACTGCAAGCAGGTGACGTTGGCACAAAAGAACGGAGCAAACTTCCCGCCACAGCGAGTGCCCTGGCATTCATCACACATCTGATCATCCAGCACATATGGCTTCACTTCCACCTGCACCGGGAAGAAGAGAGAGAACCGTGAGGCGACGCGGGGGACGCGACAGGACGGGACGGCCGGGGGAGCCGCGGCCACCGCGGGGGCTGCAGGAGCCCAAGGGGCTCCCGGCTGCCCAGGGCATCCCAAGGGAACACAGTCTGGGTTACGATTACCCTTTGTGGTAAAGGCACTGCCTTCTGCTGACCAAAACCATTGCCTAGAACCTTCCAGCTGTACAAACACAGTGAGATGCCCCACTGGGCTTGCCCTCTAGCACAAATAGCCTGGAGAGCAGCTGGCTTATTTATCTGGGGGGAATCAACAGTTATGCACATACAGTTCTTATGTCGTTACAATGCAGAGTTTGAAGTGCCCTAGGTACAGCTAAAACAGTTGGAATATACATATTGTTAGGCACAAGAGTTAATCTCTAGAAAATCTGTATAAGACAAGGAAGAATTTACTCCAGCAGCTGGCTTCAATACAGACAGTACTAAGGAAACACACTCTGAAACACTATGTTGAACAACAGCACAGGCAGTGTCAAAGAAAGCTTTATGGTGAATTTTACTCCTGCTTATCCCAATCACATTTTAATAAATTTTACTCCTTTAAAGTAAAACTGATACAGCAAACTTTATTTCTAGGCTAAGGAACTGCTGGAATTGCTAAAATAAAAAAAATGTATTTTAAGTTACACCATACTACTACTATTGTGGGGAACAGTGTGAATATCTGCCATGCAGCGTATCAGGTACCTGCCAGTAGATTAAGCATCACCATGTTAAATAAAATAGTCCTGTCTCAACTGAAACTGGAAGAAAGCAGATCTCCAGGTCCCTGCCTACTCACAATTCCAAAGGTTTGGAATAAATTCTCTCTCTCCCCTTCGCTTGTTTGGATTACTAGTGAAAATAATTTTGAGGATGCAGGCTGCACTATTGAGGAATTTTAATCACCACCTGTCCTGATTAAGGTCAGAATTAGGAGAATTTGCACTTCAAATTCAAGGTGCTTGAAGTAGTTTTATCTGTGAAAACAGATAAAAGATGATTAAGGAAGCTTAGATCCTCAATCAGCCATCTGGGAAAAGTACTGGCTGCAGGGAAACAGCTAACAGCTAGCATAATTTAGTGGTATATTTTAACACTTAGAAGAAAACAAGATTTTAATCATGGATGATATTATATAAATCTCAGAGGGTTCAACAGTCTGATTAAGAATCCAAAATTAGTCTTGCTATTCTTACCAGAACAGTCTCTCAGTGAGAACGTTCAGGATTCCTTGGACAAGCAGTACTGAGGAACAGTCTTGTCTTAGTTAAATCATAAGTAGCAGCACCACAGAAAAATAATTTGAGAGCTAACTCCAATAGCTCACCAAATTTCAGGAAAAAAGTTCACACTTTTAACAGGAAAATGTAAGAGCTGAGACTCTGTGGGTCTGTTTTTAAATGCATCCTGCACATAGAGGCTTTCCCAACAGCTGTCCAGTTGCCTGCTCAATAAATAACCTATATCACGTTAAAGAGGAAAGCAGCCACCCATGTTTTAACAGGGGATAACGGCAGCGCTCGCTCCAGGCTCTTTGGAGCAATTCTGAACGCCCAGTTCTCAAAACCAAAGGTGCTGTTTGCACGAGCAAGTAGAGACAAAGCCAGACGATCCAATAAAAAGAAAATTCTCGGAAAATAAATAGTTTCTTCTATTTCTTCACTTTAGATTTCATGAAATACATTAACTTCACTCTGTGCTTGGGAAAGCTGCTCGGAACACAGGAATCTGTAAGGTCTGAAAAACAGCTTTCCCTCTTTGGCCTGTGAAGCATCTGCCAGGATCTGCTCGTAGTTAAATGACCTTTGAGACTGTCGAGGTCAGCACTGCTGTTCCAACCAACCCTGACCCCCTTGGTAGGAAACCTCAGCCTTGGCCTGTTGGAGAGGGAGAGTGTTGCCTGAGAACAGTGTAAACACCACCAGCTGCTGACACACAGTGACCAAACACCTAGAGGAGAAGGAAGCTGCGAGACGGTGCGTGTGACCTCGAGCATCCCAGAGGCTCACGGCCACGTAACCAAGCCTCGGGCCACTTAACTAAGCTTTGAGGTAGTTAACAAACACCACCTGAAGAACAGAGGTTGCAATGCCCTCTTCCATGCTATTCCTGGGAGGATTTCTCCTCATTTGTGCCCAGTTTTGGCAGCAGCCCCATCATGGTCCTTGCCGGCGGCCCCTACTCACCCGTTTATCAATGTCATTGTGTTGGAGCTGGACAAAGCGAGCGCTGATGGCAGCGATGTAGCTCTGCTGGTTGGAGAAAGCCACGCGGCCGGCCCCTTTCGGGTACTTCAGCTCCGGGTCTGTGTCGATGCCCGCATAGCAGACACCTCCGTATAAACGGTCCATAATCATTGCCAATTCAACTGCAAGGATGCAATCGTTAAATATTACGCATTCAACAGAAATGAGACTTCTCTCTCTGCGCAAGAAAAAAGCTCTATTTGTCTCACTGTACTTGTCTTTAAAAGTCTGAAATAGCAAATGTAAATGTTGGTTTGAACTACAGATAGAATCATCCCCGGCCTGAAAATGTGAAGGCAAAAAAACAGAATATGCCACAAGAAACTCAGTGTGATGGTGTGAAATTATTACATTTTTCATGTATTTATGCAGTCAATACCAAGCTGAGAATTTATCATATTGGTGAATTGGTCATTTGAAACTGATATTGAGGATCTCCCCAGTGCCGAAGGGCTCGGTAATGCGAGCCAACGTGCAGGTCCCCTATGGATACGCCACCTATTTAGGATCTGGTGTTTTAGCCACATGCTGGGAGGCTGAAGACACAGCAGTAAAGTGCTCTATATTTAAAACAAAGCTTGGTGAAACTTTAAAAGTTTCAGGAAGCCTAAATTTGGGGTCCAACTTAATGGGTTTAAAACTTAATTCATTAGCTCTTAAAATGATTTTCTGCTCTTTCTCTAACTAACAACTTTTAAAACATAAAATATGGTTCTATGTTTATGACATTTCTACTGTAACATGACAGGTTGATTGAGTGGCTGAGGAAGCACACAGAAGGATTAAGAGAAAGGACTGAAGGAAACAGAACAGTTTACACAAGCACACAATATATATAATGATAAACATTGCCAAGGTCTCTGTAGAAGTGGATAGACAAATTTGTTAAATGGATGAAGGACAAACCTTCACAAATCAAGTTACTGGGACTGCTACAGGCCCCTGCCAAGTCAACATTTTTGTTCTGTGAATGCAGCTGAAGTCTTTCGGCAGAGCTAGTTTAAACTTAACTACCCAAGATGAAGTGAAAAAGAAGTATATTAGATATTTAAATCCCAGTAATTATCACCTAATTAGTTCATTATTCATAAAACAGACACAATTATTAAAATAAGTATGCATGTGTATATAAATAAAAGTGTCTGGGCCACATCAGGGAAGACCATCTGCCAACTTGTCCATTTGCAGTGAGCAAACAGAAGTCTGACTCATTGTGCCAAGCTAGAGGCAACTCCTGCTCCGAGCAGACCGTGAGGGACAGTGCTCACTCAGAGCACTGGGACTCGTGGAGCCTCTTACTTCCTAATGATTTATAATCATTACTTAGGTAGTGAGCCCAGAAAGCAACAGAATGGACTCAGCATCAAGAACATTTAAAAATAGCAGTTTCAATAAGATGCTCCCACTGCTGGGCAAAGAACACACATGGTTTGCCAGCCAAAACTGCAGAGTTCCAACTCTTGGACCTAACTCCTCTATCAGACTTGGCAAGCTGCAAACCAGAAAAAGTGGAAGCTGTCTGCCTTGAAAAAGCACATTTTCAAGGCACTGGCTTTCAGGTATAAGGCATATGTTTAATTGTTACTGTTTACTTACTTGCCCTCTTGCACTTTTGCCTTATTTTAAATGAGAAGGAATGAAGGGCTGCTGAGAAAGCTGGTCTTCTCTGCAGCTCTCAGAGCGTTAGGGCTGAGATCAGGGTTGGGAGAAGGAGCAAGCGAGGGGCTGCAGGTGGAAGTAGCTGCAAAAGGGCTCGGAGGGCTCTGGACATAGGGTGGAGGAATCAACCCATGGCACTGGGAGAGAATCAGGGTTAGGGTTACAATAGTACAATAGTATTTATTAAGGGAAAAAAAAAAAAAAAAAAGGACCAGTTGTAGGATATTATTCAAGCTTCAGTCTTTGAAAAGACCGTTTCTAGTGAACATACTACTCAGTAACCCATTTAAAAGATCAAAAGTTTAGCACAGATTTTTCATTTTGCTTTGTTTCTTCTACATGTATTTTACATAACATTTCTCATCAGTTCTGCTCAATCTCAAAGCCTGTATTGCTGGCCCTGCATTTATCTGTACTCACCAGCTCGGAGGGGCCGTGGAACTCCTCCAACAAAGATAGTTTTTCTTGGGTCCAGAGGCTGAGACCCATCCATCACAAAGTCACTATCACTTAGGTTCCATGGTCGAATTTGCACCTGGCAAGAACAAAAAAATGTTCTTAGGGAGACTCGACAATTCAGTAAGTAGTAACAACTGCCTAATATTTCTAAAACTGAAGTTAAATTAAAAGCCAGAGCAGTAAATTGGTGTTATAGCCAACAAAACAATTAAAGGACAAGGCTTGTCTAAGGGATTAAATGAAGGTGGACAATTCATTTATTACCTCTAGAGGCCAGGCTTGAGTTATGTTTCATCATGGCAAACCCTCCTACCTTAGTAATTCCCTGCCTCTAACTGCCGTTATAATACGAAATCTGTTAAGGGACTTGCAGAACATTTTGCCAGCTCTGTGCTGCTACAGGTGCAGTTTGGGCTTCCGGCTGTCCTGTAATCACATACAGTGATTCACTAATTTTAAAGCACTGATACAAATGAGGAGAAGAGATAACATCTTTTTTTTTTGATGTTTGCTGATATTTTTTTGCTGGCACAGAAACACATTCTGCAGGACTGGGAGCAACACTTAATTTAAAGTTTCAAGATACTGATACTACTTATCTTACTCTCTACTCACTATTCTTAGGAATTTGCTACTCCACTAAATAGGCACTATTTCTTTTTAATCAAAAATAATAATTATTATTCAATATATCTTTCAGCATTTTTATCTAATCTGTACATATCTATGGTCCAAAAGGCAAATTGTACAGAAAGCTAGAAATGTGATTATAGGAACAGGATGCCCCATCTTCTGTTCTGCAACAGTGTCTCCATACATGTTTTCACTCTTAACTTATATAAGGTAATCTACTGAAATAAGAATTGCTTAGCTGTCAAATTAAGAAGTGGAGGGAAGGCAGAAAGAAACCTAATGAAACACTGTGTTATATTTGAAGTTTCTACAATTTGCACATTTATTGCATCAGGCTTTAGGGTTTTTTTGTTTGTTTGTTTTGAACATGATAGAAGGAAGAACCTTAATCTGATTCTCTTTTACAGCTAACCCTGTAAAAGGATGCACATGCTCAGGCGATTAGCAGAAATATCAAATATAAAAGGCAACGGATCATGGCAGTTATCAAAGAAGCAAATGTTAAAGCCACAAAACGCTGATAAAGTCAGTGAAACAGAACGGACAGCGACAGGAAATGGATGAGCCAATTAGCTATAAGTAATTTTTATTTATTTATTAACTGAAAAGAGCAACAGCAACTGGGTTAGCAGCCAGCATAAGGGTCACGGCCTAAGCTACTTACGGGTTTGTCCTTAATTGTGGGACTTGACACACACAGGTAGAGTTTCCCATCTTCTTCCAGACAGGCATCTATCAGGGCTTGTACAGAGCTTTCCTCTTGGAACAGCAAGAAGGCATAACCTTGGAAAGGACAAAAGCAAAAAAAAGAGATTAATTTTTAAAGCATTTTTTCAATAAAGATAACAACTCCAAAAATTAATAAAATCTAAGAAGTTACAAATAACTGTTTGCTTTTCATAAAATTAATTCACCCAGTATATCATGCGCTCACTTATTTTCATTTGATTAGTGCACACAGTATTGATTTCGTAATGGAGACGAGAACACTTCCTGGGTGCAAATGTATTTATTTGATTAATGATTTCACGCAGTAAGAATACAGGCTGTTAAGTGAGGATTTCTTATTGTCCAACAACTGCAGGTGAGCAGGTGAGCACCATTGTGCTGGTGTCAATGATCACCGTATTACAGTTGAGGCACTAGACAGGTAGACAGGTGGACAGGTAGACAGATACATAACAAAAATGAAATTAATACTAGTTCTTCTTATTTAGTCACATTTAACACAGTCCTACATTTTCATAGGTAGTTTTAAAATTCCAAAATCTTTCCCACCTAGGAACATTCCAAAATTCTGCCCCTTCTACTGAAAGCAAAAGCTTTTCTGCTGAAAGCAAAGCAATGCTGAGCAAAGGCCATCTTCTGAAAGTGACTTAGAAAGAACCCCTGACCTACAAGTTACAACGGTGCTGTAAAGAAGGCACTGCCGTAACTCTGAACCAAGTGGTAACGTTTGTTGAGTACACCAAGGAATAAAAGAAACTTCATACATCATAAGGTAAACCTTAAAATAGCTATTACTTTATATTTACCCCAAGGAGAATATCGCCATATTCATCTACTTAGCACTGTATAGAAAAAAATGCTTCCCTAGAAATAACAAGCATGAGAAAAAAGCATCATGTTTGTTGTATTCCGAGTGAAAGACCTGCAGTTGTTATTTACATTTAAATGCAGCAGTTCAAAAGAAAGAAAATGCCCCACAAAACTTCCTCCCAGCCAGTGGAGCTCTGCGCCTTGGGGGCAGGCGGCGAGGCAGCACCCAGGTGCTCCCGTGCCTGCGGCCGGCCCAGGACAGGGGCTCCAGAGCTGCCCCACGCTGTGGTGTTTGAGCGCCGATCCGAGCGCAGCAGCTTGTGCTGTCACAGCACAAGGTTACAGCTGCGGCCGTCTGGGGACAAGGCAAGCGGCGCCAGCATCCTGTTCAAGAGCCACATAAAATTAACCAAACCAATCCTTGGCAGTTCTGCTTGGCTGCTGCATTACAAGGGCAGGCCGGGTTAGTCAGAATTCAGTTTTCTAACCTGCAGTTTGCAGCAGCTGGGAGCGTTAGTTAGTTAACAGTGCTCCGCATTTCCAGAGGCAGAGGCCTAGGGAGTCGATGAGTTCAAACCCTTAATGCTCCCCAGCGGTACCCCGGGAGCCCCTTCTGGCAGCGCGTTCCTCACGAGCCTTCCTTATTGCCCCAACAGTGTGAAAGAGCTCGAAGGATTCCCCGTGAGAGAGACCTCCGCAGAGCTGGGGCCACTGTATCTACCTGAGCAGTCCCAGAAGGAATCGCACGTGGTCTCCCGGATCCGCAGGGAAAGGCTTCCTGGCGCAGCAGGAACATCCCTGCTCCTCTGGCCGCTCCGGCACCGCCAGCACATCCCACCTGCACGAGGTCACGCTCCGGCTGCACCCCGGCCCTGCCGCTGGAAAGGTGGGAATCTCTCTGCTTCGCTCGGTGCCACCAAAGGCCTCCCTGTTCTAACGATGGGAACCCTTCTGCGTTGCACAGAGCGTGCGTTGCAGCAACACGGCACAAATTACAGACTGAGAGCCAAGAAGGGCATCGTGTGCTGCCCATACTTGCATCAATGCCACTCATCTATCAGAGGGAAAAGAACTGCTCTTGAACCTTTAATAGGGTAAAATGGATACTGAGCATACAGCAAAGCAGAAAATGAACCTTTTTAAATGGCAAGCCACGCAACTAGCTAGCAGAGTTTGTCGGAGAAGACGACTGTGGCCTCGGCTGGACCAAACTCTGTGTTAAAGATGGGCCACTTTCACGGCTCACCAGGAAAAATAGATTTTTACTGCATTTCAGAGCATTCCAGGACAAAGAGTTAAAAATGTACATTTTTTCCCCCCCTCTTTGACACCTTCGCTGCACAACTGAAACATGAGGCACAAAATCTGGTGGAATAAAATGAAGTCACTGATTGTGTTTTCTAAACCCCTGGGAGTAGGTAGGAAGGAACCTCAGTGTGCTAAAACCTTTATACTCCTTTCATTTTAAGTCATTAATTACCAAGGTTGTGGGAACGGTCTCCAGTTAATGATAAAGGAATATTTCAGAAAGGCATTAACAGAAAAGCTGGGCAGAACTTGTGCTTACATGAACTTCAGAGTAGATTTAATTCAGTCAGAAGATTTTCAAAGATTTCAGTTAATTGACAATTAGTTCCATCTCTTCATCTTATCAGATGTTCAGCTTCTAGACAGGAGAAGTAACTCATAAATGCCTTAAATCTTGCATTTGAGAGAATATATAAATTGCTTTTCAAATATGTCAACCATGAGCTATGTCTTTTGAAATAAAGCCAGCATTTTAGGATTCAAATGTTATATAACCAGTAGGGAAAGATTAACCTATTTCTGGCTTTCAGAATCACAGTTACTTTTCAAATACAGAGAAAAAATGTAGCGAGGAATGCTATATAAGATCAAAGACTGTATTTGAATGCTCACGTGAGAGGTCTGTATATCATTCTGTTGATTTCCTACACCGACCTCAGGTACACACTGTACCAAAACTTGGCCCACTTGACAAAATTAGGCACAGAAATCATCTTGCAAGGAGCCTGGGTGATAACTGTGTTATCAGATCTGTGCCAGCGCTGCTGAGCTGCACGGCTCATGATCACATACATTTAATCTCACGGACAAAATGGAAAGATGACTAATTGGAAAGCAGTTACATTACCTTTGAAGAACACTTTCTTTCACTCTGCCTTCTGCATGTTTAGAGAGCCTCTCTCCTGAGGTTTTGTGGGCCCCCAATCTAGTTCCCGGATTACAATAAATCTCCCACCCAGTGAAGATATTGCATATATAACATGGCAGTATATTTCTAACTTTATTTTTTAATGTAAAAAGTGCAATGGGAGTTAATGGGACAAAGAATTTAATGTTCTTGCCCTGCATTAGTGGTTATTTTTATACAGCTGAGATGGCTACCTCAAAAAGCAGATTTAAATGGACTTAATTTTTTTCTTGAACTATAAATAACATTTTCTTCACTTTGCTTTTTTCTGGACTTGTTAAAAATAATTTTGAATTGAATTACAGTTGTATTTACTAGAACTTTTGGAATAAATTTGTTTTAAAAACCCACAATAAAGGAACGCTTAGAAACAGTTTGAATCAAATTTCTAATTTGGTTAATGTGACGACAAAGGGTCATTGCTCAAAGTCGCCCTTAGTAATCTTATTAGAAAATGCTTTGAACATGAATAAAACACATTTCTAAATCCAGAGATGAAATGACTATTAAAAATGAAACTGATGTTTGAAAAATAAAAATCCAAGGTATTAAAAAATGCAGACTTTCTTTTTAACATTGCAGTGACATGACTGGATTTTCAAAAGACATCAAAGGCTTTAAATGCTTAAGAAACCTCAAAATAGAAAGGACTGTAATCTCACTTAGCTACTGCAGAAGAAGAGTGAAATTATGTATTAGTCAGGGCTGCAAAGATGAATTTCTTTAGTCAGACTAATTTTAAGCGGCAGTGTATGACACTGTCAGCTGGCTTCTTTCTCTAAAAAAAGGATGCATAAGAAATGCAAATAGTTTAACATTTTACAACTAGACTCCTATTCATTTCACGTATTTTTGAGGAGTATTAGACTTTAAGTCTGAGTAATTTGATATTTGAGAAGTTCCCTGTATGCCACATTAAAAGACAGGGTTGAGGGTGGGTTTTGGGTTTTAAATAATGGTATGTAGTTCATACTCTCAGTTCCAAAATTGGGAGAAGTAACTATGATCCTGAATTCACATGGCAATTAAATGGAACTTATTCAGTTAAACGCAAGAAAAGTCCTTAAGCAGGTATAATGGAAGAACGCAGTGAAAAATGAGGTTCTCATTCAGTAGAGTCTGTGAAATAAAGGGCCTGATTATATCATAAACCCTATTTTACCATTTAATAGTCCACATCACTGGGATTGCCAGCAGAACAGAGACTAACTCGGGTCTTCCCATAACACACACAGGGGAACAACAACAAAACAAAGAGCCCTACAGCAGCACTAACTTGCTGCTCTGTAGTCAACACTGAAGATCCCTCAGCCTCTGCCAAGGCCCCCAAAGCACGTGTGCTGTGGGGCAACACGCGGTATTCCCGAGGGCAGCTGGTATTCCCGAGGCTCCGGCCTTCCCCGTCACGGCAGTGCCCACAGGAGAGGGAAACCTTCCCACAGCCTGTGCCTGTTCCGAGCTAAAGATTTCCAAAGTTCCTTCAATCCTGAAACGTGCCAGGGAAGAGCAAGGATTAGCTCCTCATCACTACGTGGAGGACGTTGCCTGCTTGGGGCCAAACCATCCTGCACAAACGGCCTCCGGTTGCTCCGGAGCAGGACTCTTCTTCCCCAGCTGCACTGCAGGGAACACAAAAACGCAGCATTTCTTGGGTTGTTCTGGTTTACTGAAAGAATATTCCAGAGGGGACTAAAACCTGTCTTTTTAGTTATCTGAAAGAATATTCCAGAGGGGACTAAAACCTGTCTTTTTAGTTATCTGACATTTTAATTCTACGCTAGTTTAAACCATTGCAACAGCAAATTTATAGGGTTGTCTCTTCTTTCAAAGGTCACAGCCATTTTAAAACTTCAGACTTTAGACTGCAACACGATCCATAGCAGATATAAGTCAGCATTAAAGGGTATAAACAAATAAAAGAAAGGCTATAACATATAGTGTGGGATATTATGGTTATAATAGCAGTCACATGAATTAATCATGTAACAAAGATTAAATTTTTGATGAGGCAAGAGCTATTTTTGTGAAG